CCCTCTCTCCCTCTCTGTACCGTGCGACACTCTCGCGCGCAAAAATGTGTGTCGACAGGAGCGGAGCGCGTGTGTGAAATATGATGACATCAGCGTGCCCCCACCCCCGGCCCTTTTCGCCATTTTTTTCTTTTGTTTGTGTGTTTCTTTTTCCTTTTTCTCTATGCTTTGCGCTCATGCGGGCTGCGTGCAGCGCGGGCGTCAGCGTTTAGACTTCACACTCTGGACTCTGGGTGCTTTTCTGTATCCATGCCCGCGCGTAGTGGTGGTGTCGGGGTGCGGGGCTAGGAGTGCGGCAAAGTTGGTCGGGAATCGTCAGCTGGGGGGTGGCGCCGGCAATTCGTCAGCCCTTTGCACCCCCACCCCCGCCCCGGCAGACTCTTGCCCACAATAATCTCAATCGTCCAAGTTAAATTGCCTCGAATAAGGACCAGCTATCAGGCGGGCGGCGTGTGCCTCAACTCACTCCACATAATATTCCTGTCCTAAAAAGCGGAAAGGAGAGAGACAACGCATTTACCACACTCTCGGCTACAGAACATGCCCCTTATGGTTTTCTGCTCTGCTGTGATGTAAAAAGTAACTCGAAGTGTCGTGTAAGTTGGTGGAACATTTGTTTAGAAAACACCCAACTTTTTGTCACTTCAAACTGAGCAGCGCAAACTGGTAGTTGAAAACTGTTGTTAATGCTGGGGATATTTTAATTTTTAGTGTGAAAGACTCTACACGAGGGGTGGCAACACCTTGGGGGCCTGCTCCTGAAGCGCCCCATGTCTGCGCTCTCTGTCCGCTTGCGTCGCCCCTGACTGCTTTTCTGCACAAACTCCGGCAAGGTGCCCTCGAAACTCCAAATAAGCGTCAACGTGAGACGCATGCGTGTTCGGGCCGGTGCGTGCCGGGTGCGAGCTCTCTGCTCGCCCGTTGTCCGACCGGGCCAGGCGCCAGACCCCGGTGCGTTTGATGAAATCAAAGAAGTGAAGTCGATTGGACAAAAAAAGACAGCACTATAGCTGATGGGTTGTGAATTGATATAGACCGAGGGACTCGCTGAGGCGTCCATGGAACATCGAGAGGTCAACCTCTAATTATTGGGAACGTCTATATTTCTCTTTCTAGCAGAGCCTGATGGCAGAAACAAACAGACCTATCTCACTTCTTAGACCCTCCATAACCCATGCTATAAGTGCGCCGTGCCCCTCTTCCTTCTTGCATCACCTCTTTTACATACACCTCTCCCGACCTCTCCTTTCCTGTGAGGCTGCAGGTCCTGTGACCCATCTCTCTCACACAATCTTGTTCACGCCACCGCTGCCGCCGCCCGGGAGAGGCGAGGCAAGGAGGACAGGGCGGCGCATGGCTCTGCTCAGCTCCAAGCTCAACCCAATTTCGAGTTTCTGGTATCCCCCAACCCCTGCTGCACCATGAAAGCGGATCTCCTGGTGGGGCTGATGCTGATCTTAGTCTTAAGGACACTGACAAATATGGTAGGCCTTGGAATCGTTCCGAAAGAGTGAAGGGGTCTTACTGATCAGTGGAGTGGAGTTTTAGGGTAAGAGGAAAGTTGCGAGCTTTAATATTGATGAATGATGCGCGTCCCAAAAGTGGCAGAAAGTGATCCGTCCGTAAAGGCCGCCAGCCTCGATGGCCGCTCCGTCTCCGTTCCTCCATCCTTTTCCTTCACCCCTCCCTTTATGCAATGCTCCCCCGCCTCCTTTTCCCTTTTATTTTCGCGGGCGAGGGTGGAGAAGGGCACGCTAGGCCGTTTAGTCTCGGTCCGTTCCCATCGTTGCGATGGCCTCAGACCGCCTCAGACCCGATCGGGCCCTCCATGGCCCTCTACCACAACCCCGTCCGAGTCCCCCGAGCGCCCCCCTCTGCCCCCCGCCGTACGGAACGATCTGCCATCGCAAAGTCCTTCGGCTGATGGTCGTCTCTCCGCCGAACAACTCTGCCTCGCCGCGCGTCGACTCGAGAGACCGACTCGGCCGGACCCGACGAGGCGAGGCTCCAGCGACCATTAAGCGCCATTAAGCACTGCTAGCCCCCCGGACGGCACCGGGACGGCACCGGAACATCGTCGATAACTTGGGACCTGCTCTGGCCGCCGCGGGGCCGCGGTCCGGACGCTGGGTGTCGTTATTGGTGCGCCTTGGACATCGACCAGAAAGTTACGTCCGTTTTTCTCACGCTTATTCGCGGGAGCTCGGCGCCTGCGAGACTCGGGGTAGGCCATCCCGCAGTACACGCATGCTCTGCAGGCGAGATGTTGCCTACCCGCCAGGCGCTATGAGAGCTAGCATAGGCGGGACTTTCGCGGGTTCGCAGTGGAGAATGACGGGCGTACTTTCTGGGTGATCTCTTACACGACTGCACCACGCCCACGTGACTGAGGTGTGGCTCGCTCCCTAAGAAGACGTGGGGGTGGGTGGCGGGTGGGCTGGGCGATGGCGCCGTCACGGTGGAGGGGGGCTGCGCTGAGCTTGCTCCAGCTGCTCGACTCCCTCTGATGGTACTTCTCGTGCCACTTCTCGCCGCTAACGAGGGCTGCTCGGGCCCCCCGCGTCTGCCTGCAGGTGATGCTGGGCCAGCCGATGGCGCTGGTGTCGGAGGGCAACGAGGCGGACACGGACTGGCACGAGTCGGAGTTCATCAGCGAGTGCCTGTGCTGGCACAACGTGTACCGCCAGCGGCACGGCGTACGGGACCTCCTCATGAGCGCCGAGGTGCGTGACGCGTCTCTACACGGCGTCTGCTCGTGAGCGGCGTCTCCATGGCATTATGCATTGCGTCGTGCGAAATATATTTGTATAAACCCCCGATCTCTGTTTGCTTAGCTGTGCGACATGGCGCAGAACTGGGCCAACCACCTGGCCCACGCCAACGCCTTCATGTACAAGCCCGGTGAGACCCAGGTCGGTCAGAACTTGTACTGCAGGCTGCCCAATACCGCTGTTACCGAGGTCACGGGTGAGTAGACACGGCCAGTTTTAAACCGCATTAGTTCACAACAAAGCTCTAGCGTCACTTGCACGTAATTTGTTTTTCCTCGTTTTCACCAATTTTCTTTGCTATAATTCTGTGATTTTTTGTATTCTGGTGATTGTCCAGGTCAGGAGGTTTCCGCCTACTGGTACAGCGCTTTCAAGCAGTACAACTACGGCAAGGAACCGGATGTCCTCCACGCCAATGTCAACGCAGGTAAGCCAAAAACAAACCGTCCTGTAGAACGCTCGTGATGTTGACCGACATCGGATGTTGATCGAATGAAAACAAAATGCTCGAATGGTTACAAAGTAGCCAGAGTGGGTCACTTGTCCGTGAATCCGCTGCTTCATATTCCCAATAAATCACATCCCCGATAACCGATGGGGATTACTCCGAACAACTCCAATAATTGCCTTTCCCTTGTCCGGCGGACACGGACACCCCACCCAATGCCATACCCAACTCTTCCTAAACGCCTTTCCCTGCCCCGCCCGCAGGCCACTTCACGCAGCTCGTGTGGGCGTGCAGCCGAGAGATCGGAGTCGGCAAGGCGCGCAGCCGCCAGGGCAAGACGGTGGTCGTGGCCATGTACCGGCCGCCGGGCAACGTCAGCGGTCTCTTCCAGGAGAACGTCCTCCTGCCAGCGCCCGCCTGCGGCGACCTGGAGCTCGCCGCCTCCCTGTCCGACTCGTCCTCGTCCTACTCGGCGTAGCAGCGCGCCCCGCCCCGCCCCGGCCACCGCGCCGCCGGCAACCGCAACGCCATCCGCTACCGTCCCGTCAGGTGAGAGTCTCGTGTGTGAGTTTGTGTGTGAGAGTGTGAGCAGGTAAAAGAACTAACTTGTTTTCTGTTTGGGTGGCAGGTACCGCGCCCCTCAGCTGTCTGTGGCGCCACCCTCCCCCGACGACAGCCCGCTGGTCGAGCGCCGCCAGGAGGGGGCCGGAGCCGGAGCCACCACCGCGGCCACAGTGCACCCCGCCGGCCCGGCAGAGGTAGGTACGCCGCGGTATGCGGCGCGGGGCCGAGCGGGAGCCCCTGGGGGTGCATTCCACAGCAAAGCTGGCCGTCGGCATTCCACCCGGCCGCGTCGGCTGGCTTCCGCTTCCGCCTCACTGTATAGCATCCTGGCTCCCCTGTTCCCCTGAGCACCCAGAGTCTGCGCGCCCGCCGCGGGGCGAGGCCCGGCGCCGAGCTTGGCTGGGCCGGCCGGAGGCGTCGCTCAAGTCCGGTGGCTGGAAAGGGAAGGCCGCTCCCATGCCGCCGTCGCCAACACCGCAGCGGCGCAGGGCCGCCGTCTCGTGTTTCGCCGCCCGCCGCCGCCCCGACAGTTCCGCGATGCGATTATTCCCCCCTCCCTCCGCTCTCCGTCTCTTCGGCGCGCATTATTAAAACGTGTTTACGGCGCAGTAAAACCGCGCCCGCGGAAAACACATCGGCGGCGAGGAAAATAGAGAGGGGTGCGCTACGGGCGGCCTCGCCCTTGGCCCGCGTGTTCGAGTTCGACGGAGCGCCCTGACTACCACCGCCGCCCGCGCTCTGACGGCTCGCCACACCCCGCCGCGCAAACCTTAAACTAAACGTAACTCACTTACCGACGCGCATGAGCGCCCCGCCAGGGCGAGACTCTTCACCCGCGAGGCGTGGCGGCGCAGAAGAGTAGTTTGCTGCAGCGCTCTCGCCGCCCCTAACGAGCCCCCTCAAGTTGGCCGTCGCTCTCACCTAATTAGTTGACACCCTCCAGTCGGTAGCCCCCTCCCCC